CGGTGGGGGAGGACAGCTGAAGAAGGTGTGAGGTGGTGACAGCGATCGAGGAAAAGCGAAACACCTGCTTCTGGGTTGACTCATCCAGGCTGGGGGAATAATCTAATGTGGAAAGGAGTTTAAAAAAAAAAAGTGAGTTGTGCGTAGTCCTCTTCCCCAGGCAGCTAGGAAATTGCTCGTCTGTCTGAAAGAAGGTAGCTGTTTTCCTTAGAGGACTGTGGTGAGCATCAGATGAGATAATACATGTGAAAGGCAAAGAGCTATAAAAATGCAAGAGACAATTTCGAATCCTTCAACCTATTTATCTGTGTGCGTGTGTAAGATGCACTGTAAGGTATGGGCCAGTGGGGTAAGACCAGGTGTGGGATTATGGGATGTGCCCAGTAACGTAGAGGGTGTGTAAAGATACTTTAGGGGGGCCCAGTGACACTGTAATCTATAGTAACAGCTCTGTGTCGCTTAGGTTCATTTTATCTGGTTAATGGATTACTCCCCTTTTGCTTCTCTTCCACACATCTTTTGACCTTTTTGCAACCAAAGACTTTTACCCAAAAATGAGCCTGAAGAGGAAAACACCAGTCACTTTTGGGGCGTATTGATTAAATTTGGCTGAGAGGGAGGTTTATGTGATTGTATTGATGATTTCAATTTGTCTTGCCCTCGGCATGAAACGTCATGTTGTACAAAGAGTTGTGGGCTGAGGAACAACCAGGGAAGACCTAGCTCTGGATTTGACTCTTCAGTAGAGGGGTCACCCTGGCCAAGTTCCAGTACCTCTCTGATCCTTAGTTTCTGTCAGATGGGAAAAGACCTTTAAGGTCATTGGTGCATTCTTCCAGAGCTTGCATACCTGCCACAGGGTTACTCAGCCCCTAGTGACGGGGATCTTGCCACGTCCCAAAATGGCTGAGCCATTCAGTCTCTCCAGACAGTCCTGACTGTTGGAAAATTCTTTATGTTGAATCGACATCTGTTTCTCTACAATTTGCACTCATTGGAGCCATACAGAATAAAATGTCTAATGCTGCTTCCACAAATATTTGAGGACTGCTAACACATTTCCTTCTTCCACTTACTCCACAAGGCTTCTTTTCTTCCAACTAAACATGCCCAGTTATTTTAAACAGGGAGGCAGTGTGGGGTATTGGAAAGAACGCCAGCTTCGGAGCCAGACACATCTGTGTTCAGTTCCCAGTCCTTTACATACTAACACTCGGTGCTCTGAGCTGCTGTATCTTTCTCTGCAAAATGTGGATGAAAATAGTCCTCTCGCTGAGTTATTGTAAGGATTAGGGATACATTGGTGAAGATCCATGCTTAAAGTATGAGAGCGTTTATACCTTCAGTGACATAATTTGCAATGCATTTTAGGTGATCTCTGAACAAATTCCTGTTTAGGTGTCTCTTAAATTGCTTTGTAAAACAATAAAATACTTTCTCTGAAGTCTGGCTAGCAAAATAGAGTAGGATTAATTTATTCCCGGTGCTTCTCTGATGACATTCTGCAATCTACAATGGCATTTTTGGAGCCATATCACATTGACTCACTGTCACCTAAAGCCCTAAGTCTCTAACACGTGCTGCTGTTCAACCAAATTTCTCCCATGTCGAACTTCTTCCATTTATTTGAGTCGATAATTATAGATGGCTCTTCAAAGTGGCAGTCCCAGTTCTGTCTCATTGTCTTCAGAAATATCCTTATGCTTGTCATAGTGTGGGTCTCAGACCGGGGTTAGAAAAATACTATTATCGAACGTAGGGTACCAGCCCCGCTGGTCTCATTCCGCTGTTGTACAATGAATGCTGAGCTTTCGACACTAATTTTTGCAAAATCCGAGGTCTTATTATGTGGGACCATCTTAGAATTGGAATGTGACAGGAGTGTCTGATAAGCTGCTGGTTGAGGGAATGCGCTGCATGGGATGTCAGTGGAGTGTGGTGTCTGTATTCAAGAACTGAAAGAGTGTACTGAGAGCAAACCGGAGGCAGACTTTGGATTTATGTATGGTTACATGTTTTCTCAGGCGCTTGGACTGTTTTATACCTTGGGCTAGATTCTCCCTGGTGGAGGAAGCTTCTTTCTGGAAGTAAGGCAGGCACATTTAGGAAATTCATTAACCCCTTGGCTCCTGGGGCATTGTTACTAGCATTTTCTCCCTCGACTTTGGAAAGCAAATTCCCGGCTTTAGCGAAGCCAACCTCTCCTAGTATCCTCTGCATTGTTCAGACTCCTTTGCCTCTGTACTGGAGGGTCTTTTGCATCCTCTGCACTGGAGGGTCTTCCGAACAGGAATGTTTTCTTCACCTAAGCAAGTTCCGGGTTTGAAGTCCTCAACCCTAGATTCCTCCTTCTCCAAGGAAGTTTTTCCTAGCCACTCTGTTTCTCTTGAGCACCCGACTCAGAATTCCTGTTGTCTTCAAGAGCTTCCTTGGTCCCCTCTCTGTCCCTCCCCCCAGCAGTTTCTCGTATCTGCCCACTTGTTCTGTGGCTTTCAGAATAAGATCCTTTGTAAGCGCTCAGTCCATTAAATACAAAACTGCCTTCATCTTGGGTGCTGGTGCTCCTGGTGCGGTGAGAATGAAAGTGTGGAATCCGTAGGACTCATCGGTTCCATTGACAACAAATACGAAAAAAAAATGATGCAAAGATTGTTATTGTCTTAATTAAAATGGGAAAACCTGTACTCCGTTGAGCGGACTGATTTAAATTTTGCTAAGTAATTAATTCAGTCTTTAAAAGGTGGTAGGGGCGCCCGGGTGGCTCAGTCGTTAAGCGTCTGCCTTCGGCTCAGGTCATGATCCCGGGGTCCTGGGATCGAGCCCCGCATCGGGCTCGCTGCTCCACAGGAAGCCTGCTTCTCCCTCTCCCACTCCCCCTGCTTGTGCTCTCTTTCTCGCTGTGTCTCTCTGTCAAATAAATAAAATCTTTAAAAAAAAATAAAATAAAAGGTGGTAGTTAGTTAAAACAGGTAATCTTCTGTTAAAGGGAGTAATTTATATTTTGGTAAGTAACCAATTAAGTCCATAAAGGGTTCACATCCATCTGTGCCTTCTCATTTTCTTTAGGACTAATTCCAAACTCCTTAGGATGAAATTCGCATTGTAGCCTAATTTTTTGCCAGTCCTCGTGGATCCAAAGGACTTGCAGTTTTCCCCAAAGGTTGTGCAGTCCTGCGCCTCCGTTCTTTGCAAATGCCGTCCCCTCTGGTTGGAATGCTCTTTGTCTTTCCGGTAAATGTCTATTCATCATTCAAGACAACCCTCCCCCCTCCCCTTAATTACTTCCTCCCCTGTGCGCCCTCAAATTCTTGTACTTATTCATGCAGTATTTATTAGGGGCCTGCTTTGTGGCTGGCACTGTGGCGGGCTCTGGAGATACAAAAGGTGAATAATACTTGGGCTCGGCCTTTGAGGGCCTTACGTGTTAGGGGGAGGGGGCCAACCTGTCACAGAATGTTGCCAGGAAATTAAAGGGAAAATATAAGCAGCGTCAGTTCTTGTCTGTCTTCCCCACCGGATGGTCAACATCTTGTTCTGGGGCAGGGGCCATTTCTCATTCATCTTCGTATCCCCGGCTTTTAGCTCATTGTAGATGCTAAAAAAAAAAGCATCTGGTTCGTTCATCGGACACCAAAAGTGTACCCCGGATTGTGCCACACGTTTTGATGACAGCTCATAAGTGATGGTTTCTCCTGTGCCTGGTTGGTGGCCCTTGCCTCCCATTGCAGTGTTAGGTGCTGGATGGCCTTGGGTCGGCTCGGATGGACTGGCCTTTTGCGATTCGTGCTTGCCTGCGCTCTGGGCTGCGGAATGGCCCCGGGCTGGCGGGCGTGAGTGGAAGGAGAGGCTTGCAGCGCCCCCGCTGGAGGGAGCCGGCACTGCTTGGGCTGCCTGGCTCGCTCACATCGCTCGCATCCCGCGCGCGCCTTCGTCAGAGTTTTAAGTTTATAGTCAGAATATGAACATAGGCACTGTGATTCTCTACACTTTTCTTTTCAGAGACATAATATATGCCTTTCAAAGGATTATAGGTGAAGAAGAAAATTCCTTCCCTCTTTCCTGTACCAATGCGGCCTTGCATTGTGATTCCATCGTACATCTAAAAAAGGGGGAGTTTTAGTCTCATAATTGTGAAGATCATTATTTCTGGCGCGGTACGGGCCCTCTGCTGGGAGCGGGTGCTGCGAGAGGGCTGCGGCGGGGCTCTGGCATGCGGGCCACGTAGTGCTGCTGCAAAGGAAACGTGCCTGGCGCCGTGGCCATGGCAGTGGTTGAGAGAGAGAACCCAGACTTTTCCCCAAGTTTTGCCCTTCTTGCTTCCTAACCGCTGTCCCCCGAATCAGCCGATGAGATTGGTAGTAGGCCCAGCAGAGCTTATCGTTCCCTAGCCATTTGGTTGTGTCCTTTCTGCTTACCCATAGTTAGGGACCTAGGAGGGGGTGGGCACTTGAGGACCAATGCTTTGGTCTGGGTACTCGCGTAGTTCAGAACCTATGCCTCGGGCGTGGTGCAGACTGAGAGCAGGTACCACAGTTGGCCGCCCCGAGCCCCACTGCACCTGAGGTCGAGTGGCCACCTCGGGGTTGGGGGGACTGTGGGTGGTGGTCTGTGGTTGGGGGTGTGTGTTGGGATTTCGGGATCTGTGGTCGTCTTTTCCAGCGGCGTAAACTCAGCAGAGGAGGATTTCTGCTGTGGAACCTGGAGCTCAGGGTTGGGGGGCCTGTGAGGGAGCAGCGGGTTGCTGGCAGGGGTCGACAACCCTAAAGGTGCCCCCTAGAGGAGCTGCTGTGAGAAGGATGCTCCATCCCTGCTGCGGCGGCAGGGCTGCGGGGAGGGGCCGTGGGGAGGGGCGGTGGCCGTGGCGGGAGGGGCACTGCGGCGCGGTGGGCGGGCCAGGGGCGGGGCGCGGGTGGGCTCTAAAAGTCGGTGCCCACTCGCTCGGCACTGCCGCGGCAACCAGCACATCTCGGTGCTTCCTCTGCGGCAGCCGCACCTCGTGCAGTGCCGCAGCGCACGCCCGGGTGGCTGCTCGCTGCTTGCCGCGGCCGGCGCCGCCCTCGCAGGCTGTAGGCTGTGCCTGGCTGCCGGCCGGCCTGCCCTGCTGTGGGCGCTGCGGCGCGCGGTGCTCCAAACCCGTGTGCCGGGCGGCATGGGATAAGACGCGGCCATGGTACGCCGAGATCGCCTCCGCAGGTGGGTGCACGCGGCAGGCGCGAGGGGGTGTGGCTGGCTCCAAGCCGGCGTCCCGGAGAGGGTGCAGCCTAGCTGGTGGGGACTCTGCGTGTCCGTGCCATAGATGTGACTAGAACTGCCAGACCGTGACTCCCGCAGTGGAGGGAAAACCCCCACCCGGGGTTGGGGGGGGGGACGCACCTGCCTGTCCTCTGAGCCCTGTCTGCCTACTTGAGAGGGGATGTCACTCCTGCACGCAGTAGGATATTGAGCTGGAGATCTCCCAGATTTGGTATTTCTGTACCCTGGTATCGCTTTGATGCGATTTAGGATTTTTAGACCCCAGCGTCGCCGTGGCGCAATTTAGGATTTTTAGACCCTGGCGTCACCCTGGCGCGACTTAGGATTTCTAGAACCTGGCGTCACCCTAGTGTGATTTAAGATTTCTAGATCTCGGCTTCGCCCTAGTGAGACTTAGGATTTCTAGACCGCGGCTTCGCCCTGGCGCAATTTAGGATTTCTAGATTGCGGCTTCGCCCTGGCGCGATTTAGGATTTCTAGCCCGCGGCTTCGCCCTGGCACGATTTAGGATTTCTAGACTGCGGCGTTGCCCTGGTACAATTTAGGATATTTAGACTCCGTCTTTGCCCCGGCACAATTTGGGATTTTTAGACCCCCGGCATCGCCCTGGCGCGATTTAGGATATCTAGACCTTGATATTGCTCAGATGCGATTTAGGATTTTTAGACCTGGCATTGCTCAGGCACGATTTAGAATTTCTAGACCCCAGTGACGCCTTGGCGTGATTTAGGGTTTTTAGACCCCGGCATTGTCCTGGCGTGATTTTGAATTTCTAGACCCCTGCATCATCTTGGCATGATTTAGAATTTTGAGGCCCTGGTATCACTGTGGCGCGATTTAGGATTTCTAGACTCCGGTATCACTGTGGCGCGATTTAGGATTTGAAGACCCTGGTATTGCTGTGGCGTGAGTTAACTGCATAGGTGTGACTAGAACTTGCAGTACCATATTACCGAGGCGTAAGTATTTTCCAGATTTCTGTAATGAGAAGCTAAGTGAGAATGATGATGTGATCAAACTGTCATAATGTTACACATGAATTGTTTGCATTGGTTTACAAAGTAGTTCACAGCTTCACCGCGATGCTAGAAGGTGGCAGGTTTGGTGGTATTAAATGTATTTTTTTCCTCTTTACAAGACGAAGAAATCAAGGCTCGGAAGGGTTGATTAATTTCCAGAAGGTTTGTTACCTGGGTTTGCTGAATTTATACTCTTGACTTGTGGCTCATCAAGTAATGGAAATTTTGGTCAAAAAATGATTAATCCCATTTGGCTACTGACTGCCAGATTGCTTCCCTACTAAAAATCCTAAAATGTCGTTAAGGGCATTTTTACCGAGTAATTAAACCAGAAAAAGGCTTCCTGAAAGGTTGCCTCTTTTCTTTCTTGGAGTGAAAAAGAAGGAAGGTATAGAGGGTGGGGGTGTCCATGAGTGGAAAATGCACAGTCTTTGCCCCCCGAGGCTCCTCCCCCCTCCACCCCCCCACCTCACCCTACCCCACC